TTAGCAAGCGGTGAGCTAAATCTCTTGTTTACAGGTCATGCAGTTAGCTAGCACATCATCATACCATGGTTGATCAAAACGACGAGGCTCGGACAAGACAACTTAGGTTGTAGCTGATGCCTAAACAGCTGTGCAGCTGTAGCGCTCGTTGTTTACATGTGAAGAGCAGTACTGCTGTATCAGCAACAAGCTAACGTAAGTTGTTATGTCGTGCTGGTTTCATGGGATTAAAACGCGGAGAAATAACGCGTATGCTAATGTCAGTTTTTCATGCTAATGTCAGTTTTAGTTTTATTATGACTTTAGCTCTTTTTATGCATGCACGACGCTCACATGTAATATAACGTAGCTTCATTGTAAAGTTAAGTAGCCTAGATGTTCTGCACGGGCACACTGCAGGATTTGGTTTTGCGATGGAGTCCATATTGGAATGCAAAATGAGCCTTAAACCAGCCCATTCAGTAAAAACAAAAACTTTATTGCCTCAAAGATAACTTTCTTTCACTATCAGTGGTAATATTGCGGCACCGGCTGTTTTATCAGTTAATTATTCGATATCTATTCCAGCTTTATTCAGTTGGTATTCTTTACTGTCCGCGAAACAGACACAGAGGTGGCATCTATTCTTACTAAAATGGAAAGAGTCTGTTTACACCAGGCATTAAAGGGATCCGGGCTTCTGAAAGGGTCAGCAGCAAAACGTGTTTGTATCACCAAAGGAGGTTGGGATACACCGATATGACTTTTTCAGTCCTGATACTGATACCAATATCTACGCTTTGGGTATTGGCCGGTGCAGAGTACAGATACAATATCAGTGTTAAAATAGAGCATGTGAATTGTCTTCTTTGGCTTGATGCCTCTGGAGGTGCTTGATTGAGTTGGTTGTGTTAAGTGTTTCTGTACTGCCGCCACCCCTCAAACATTGATATTGCAAGTAACCTCAAGCTACATCCACACTACTACATTTTTGCTTTAAAACAGACATTGCCTTCCGTCAAATCAGTGCATCCCTAAAAAGGAGGCCCACTGAAATTTTTTAACATCAGATACAGTGGTGTGAAAAAGTTTTTGCCCACTTCCTGATTTCTAATTTTTTTCATGCTTGTCACACTGAAATGTTTCAGCTCATCAAACAAATTGAAATAAGGGAAAAAAACCTCCAAACCTACATGGCCATGTGTGAAAAAGTGATTGACCCATATCACATCTTTGGAAAGCTGAGTTCAATTTCTCTAGCCACACCCAGGCAAAAACATGGAACAGTGGTTAACCTTCCCAGGAGTGGCCGGCCAACCAAAATTAACCCAAAAGCGCAGCAACGACTCATTCATAAAACCCCCCACAACATCCAAAGAACTGTAGGCTTCACTTACCTCAGTTAAGGTCAGTGTTCATGACTCCACCATAAGAAAATCATTCAGACTTATAATATTGATTTCCTTTTTTATACAGATGACACACAATTGTATGTCCCGTTAAGGCCTGGTTCTTCCAATGTCTCTCAATATTCTCTCTTGCCTCGCTGAGATAAAAGCCTGGACGTCTAATAACTTTCTTCAGTTAAACAACACAAAATCAGAAATAATTGTTTTTACTCCCATCGGAACCAGCACTAGCTACCTCAAAAACCTCACCACTAGACTGGGTGTCTTCTCAGATAAAATTCAGAAAGAAGCTTGTAACTCGCACTAAGAAGAGTGACCTCATCACACCAATTCTCAACCGCCCTTCACTGGTTACTTGAGTTTTTGAATTGATGTTAAGATTTTACTACTTGTTTTTAAGGCCCTGAATGGCCAGGCTCCTGGCTGCATGTGTGATTTGTTAACTCCCTACAAGCCAGACCGATGCCTGAGATCCTCTGGCAAGGCTCAACTAATGGTTCCAAAGTCTCGCCTTGTCACTAAAGGTGACTGAGCCTTTGCTGTTCGGGCCCCTCAGTTGTGAAACTCAGTGCCCAGAGATCTCAGGCAGGCAAACTCAGTGGCCTCTTTAAATCTCTTCTCAAGTCTCACTTTTATCGTTTGGAGATTTGGTTAACATTATATTATTACTGTTATTGTATTGTCTAATGCTGATTTTATTGTTTGATTTTTAATTTATTTTAATTCATTTATATTTTTGCATCTGGATCATGTTTGTTTTACTGTATAGCACTTTGTAACTTGGTTTTGAAAAGTGCTATACAAATAAAGATATTATAAGAAAGAGACTGGGCAAAAATGGCCTGCATGGCAGAGTTCCAAGATGAAAACCACTGCTGAGCAAAAAGAACATAAAGTTCTTCATCTTAGTTTCGCCAGAAAACATCTTCATGATCCCCAAGACTTTTGGGAAAATATTCTCTGGACTGACAAGACAAAAGTTGAACTTTTTGGAAGATTGTGTCCCAGTTACATCTGGAGTAAAAGTAACAGCATTTCAGAAAAGGAACATCATACCAACAGTAAAATATAGTGGTGGCAGTGTGATGGTCTGGGGCTGTTTTGCTGCTTCAGGACCTGGACCTGCTGTGGTAAATGGAACTGTATATTCTGCTGTCTGCCAAAAAATCCTGAAGGACAATGTCCGGCCATCTGTTCATGACCTCAAGCTGAAGCGCACCTGGGTTCTGCAGCAGGACAATAATCCAAAACACACCAGCAAATCCACCTCTGAATGTCTTAAGAACAAAATGAAGACTTTGGAGTCTGAGACTTTGGAAAGTCCTGACCTGAATCCGATTGAGATGCTGTGGCATGAAAAAAGAGGTTGAGGCTTGAAAACCATCCACTGTGGCTGAATTACAACAATTCTGCAAAGATGAGTGGCCAGAAATCCTCCACAGCGCTGTAAAAGACTCATTGCCAGTTATTGCAAACGTTTCATTGCAGTTGTTGCTGCTAAGAGTGACCCCACCAGTTATTAGGTTTAGGGGGAAATCACTTTTTCACACAGGGCCATGTAGGTTTGGATTTTCCCCCTTAATAATTAAAACCTTCATTTAAAAACAAAATTTTGTGTTTACTTGTTATCTTTGTCTAATCTTTCAATTTGTTTGATCTGAAACATTTCAGTGTGACAGAAAAACAAGAAATCAGGAAGGGGAAAAACACTTTTTCACACCACTGTATATCTAAGGGAGAAGAAGAAACTCAGCACAGTGGAACACAGAACCCCCCTCTCCAATCTAGCGTTTTGGCGGTGTGATTGTGGGGGAAAAAAAATCTAAGTTGTGGATAGTGTCTCTGCAGTGGACAGATGTAGTTTAGCGAGAGCCTGGAGGTCAACGTACCAATATTTGCTCCCTCTAGCCGCCGCTTCTTGTGATCAACACGCTCTCCTTGTTCTGTTTTACTAGTTATTGTCATAAATATGGTTTATTGTTTAACTTTGTTCAAGTTGAGAAATACACAATTCAGAATGTCAGTATTTTGTGCATTTTCCTTGATAATCAAGCAGAGAGACCATTTGTTATGTTACGACTGTATCGCAATATTGTCCACAATAATCGCAATATGACTTTTTCTCCAAATCACGCAGCCCTATTTTGCAACATAGCTGTCATGTTCCACATATGGTTGTATTAAATTGCACTTTATGCTGGACTACCTTGCAAAATTAAAAACTTAAAATAATTGTACAGAATGTTAATTAATATTGTCTTACACAGGTAACGGAGGGGACGGACGGAGAGTCCATGGAAGCTGTTTCAGAGCCAGGATCATCAGGGGATGTTGGAGACCCAATTCTTGTTAGCGGGGCTTCTCCTAGACTCTCTGAAAATGGAGGGGAGAATAACTTTGTTGCTGAAAAAGATGGTGAAAGTCAAGAAACGGAGGCAGCTGTGGTCCCTAGTCCTGTATCTGCATCCCCTCTAAATCTATCCCCGTCACAGATGTCTTTGTCGACAGAAGAGACAGTCAGCACAGTTTTGGTTCAAGGTGGTGAGACAGGTAGCACCTCAGAGTCTGAAAAAGAGTGTACTGAGGTAAAAACTGAGGAAGAGTTTGAGGTAAAAGAAGAAAATGTGGGCGCAAAGGACAACAGCGTAGAGGAAAGTACCACAGGACCTGATGTCAGTGAGAACTCAAACATAGATGAGACTTCTGATTGCAAGAATGAGATAAACACAGATGAAAAGATGGACCCAGACATTGATGCTAAGGAGGACATTGACACTGAACGGGAGTCTCTTGGCTGTAAATTGAGGGTTTCTACAGCGGACGACCTCGATGAGATGATGGACATTGGGACAGTGGATCAGGTGGAACAGGAAGCTCAGATGAAAGAGGAGGAGGAGCAGAATAGTTTGATGGAAGAGGACAGCAGCCCATCACCTGTCATTTCAAATACAGGTAAAGTAAAACAGGAGTTTTTCTTCTCAATGAGTTAATCACTCAGTTTTTGGGTTAAAGATTCAGAGAAACGATCTCAACCAACGGGTGTAAAAAGGGCTGCTTGATATGGTCTCATGCCACCGGATCTCCCAAGATTAGGAAGTGACTCTTGCAATCGACACTTTTAACATGCTCACACACCTGTTTGTGAATCTTCTCCATCCAGCTAAGGCATATGCCGTGATAGTAATCACGTGAACCGTCCTCTCAGGCTGTGAGTCGCAGCAAGTTTGTGATGGAGTGGTAATGTAACTGGTAGAGTTTTGCAATATAAACGTCTTCTGTTTGGGACAGTGAACTATACTTTACTGGAGATGCTTGTGTGTGAATTTTTGGTGAGATTTCAGCCTGATCATAATTGTTTTCACTTAGTTCACCTCATTGTGTCATCCAGTGCAGTCCCAAACGGAGTTTTGTTTCTGTCAGATGGCCTGAAGAGGATGCTACCGTATCGGCAGAGCAATTATGTAATGCACAGCAGAGTATAGGACTTTTAAAACATAATGAATTCTCCTTAAATGGTGATGTTAGTTGATTAATTAAATAGATTTTGAATGTTGAACGTTTTGAACAGGAGCAGAAAACCTGCTGAAACAAAGGAACTTTTATTAAAGTCGAAGTATTTATAGCTCCATTTAAATTAATTAATTTATCATTGAGGGTGAAAATCTGGCATAATCAAAAAGAGGTTACTTTGCCAAACAGAGGAGGGAACTAAATCAAGCCTGCGAGTGTGCTAACTCTGCAGGGACGATATTACATGAGAAAAGATGATCTACAGGAAAAACATATCTTAAAGCCTGAGAGCTGCACTGTGTTATATTCTGTTATATTTTTATATTTTGAATTGTCACCTGCCACCTGAATTTTGTGTTTTCCTTTGTATCAATTAAAACATTTCCAACATAAATTGAGGCACAAAAGGCAGAAATTGCATCAAACACGCCAAAGTTTGGCTTAGCTTCACTAAAAAACACCTGCAGTAAGGATATTTTGTGCAATGGAGGAAGCACCACCAATATGACGAGATTGTGGTGAAGGGGTTGGAATAGATCAAATTAAAACAATATCCGCCCCTATCGCCTACACAGTCACCAAATCCTGCTTTTCCTGTTGAGATATTTTCTTGAAAGCACTGCTCTATGGAGTCACACTATTTTTTTTTTTTTCTTATTTCCCGAACAGCCTTAGAGGCAGAGCACAGTAACTCTGTTAAGGAGGAAACTGATGTGAAACCCACTGTGTCACCACCACCCGCAGAGGAGGACGTCAAAGTGGCTGTAGAGTCGATGCAGTCCAGCTCATCTCCATCGTCTGAAGCCACGACTAGTGCAGGTGAGTGACTTCAGAGCAATGTTGCGTGGTGTGAAGTAAAAATGAAAAGCCAACAGTGTGTAATTAACATGAAATTCTGATCTCACTTGCACAATTTTACCCACCAGACAAGTTTTTCAGCTCCCTTAAGGAGTCTTATAAGTTCTTGAAATGGCTGAGACAAACCTACCAGCATTGGCACTTTTGACAAGTACACGTCTCATCATTAAATGCTGGGATGTATACTTCTGTACTATATAAAGTATTATCTAATCCAGGACACTAGAAATCAGAAATCAAACTGTCTGGTTATGATTAAATTTCGATTTTGCTCAAATTTCTGGCTGTGATCTTATCTAGTTATTTGTACGCCACTGCTGCAATGGGTGATTTGTTTTCTGCATGTATGTATTTTCTTTATTACCTGCTTTGCACCCGTATTCACATGTTGCTCATGTTGCTGTAGGAAGGAACAGCTCATCTCCTGCCACCATGATGAACGGGTTGAAAGTAGTTAAGCTATCGGACAATGTAAGTATAAGAAAGATCTACTTTAGTGTGGAAATTAAAACAGGCTAGAGTCAAATGGCAGGACAATTAAAAACAATAACAATAATTATCACAATATATTTTTTTCAATAACAATATAACAGATGTTCAATAAATATTAAAAAAATGTTTGTTTATTTTGTTGAGGAAAAAAGGAAAAAGCTTTTACTTAATTTTACTCGTGTATATTTGTTGACAAGATTTTATTATAATTGTTTAGAAAGTTCTGCCTCAGATTTGTTAAGTTGGCCACTGTTTGGCCTCAAGTGTTGACCATAAAGGAGAGTTTAAACCACAATTAACCATCAGGTCTCTTCAACTTTCACTCAGGGAAAAAAATCAGCCTTTAAACTCGAAAGAAATAACGATTGTATACTTATTGTGATAATTATCGATATTGAAAGATATGAAACTTTTATTGTGATAACATTTATGGCCATATCGTCCAGCCTTGGCGTTAAAGCCGTTTGTACATTTCTGCGCTGCTTTCAAATATTTCTTGCTTTAATGTCCTTTAGGGCTTTCAAGCTTTGGATTCTAATCTAAACAACAACAATTTTGTTTTCTTTCTGTTTGTTACTGTTGTAGAAAAGTTTACATTCTGCCAATCAGCCTGTCAAGTCATCTCCTTCACCACCTTTGGTCAAGGTGAAGGATGAACCTGTAGACGAAGAGTACGAGCATGCTCTAATATCCTCGACATCTACAGCTAGCGTGAAAGATGAGCCCAACACTGCAAAGGTAGGACAAACACATCTTTTCAGAAGGATTTTAAAAGTTAAGCCCCTTTCAGAAATCCAACGGCAATTTAACATCTTGGTCACATCTCTAAATAAGTACCATGGTGACTTTTACATCAAAGTCACAACTGCAATCTCACTCAACCTGATCTAGTAACATTTATTATAAATGGGCATGACGTTACTTCCTTATAAGATCACTGTAATAAATGATCTCCAAATTATCTCATTTGTCAACTCTTATGCATGAAGAAATTAAGGTTTGTGTTTTTTTTTTTTTTTTTTTAAAACACTTTTAACAACCATCGTAATAATCTGACCAAATGTATTTTTAATTTTCATTGATGTCATTTGATCTGTCAGGTTTTGGAGAGGAGCATTAAGTATTACAGACAGCTTTATAAAGGACATTTCTCATCATTCAATTTGTTTGACATGGTGCCACAAGATGACCAGTGCTCACTTTATCAGCATCTTTATCTTATAACATCCTTGACATTTTTAATTTCCAGGTATTCGTTTATTCTAACTCAGTGAACGGTACTCACTCAATTCAACAAGAACATCTGTTGTTGCTAATATGTGAACGCCTAGTCCTTGAATATATTATGACCCCACTCCCATATATCCAGATTAAATATTCCCTACTATACCAGATCTTCAGGCAAGATTTGGTGGATCAGGAATCACTGCATCATCGCTGACCTCATTGTTCTGTTATTGATAGGAGGACTTAAGGATCGGCTCGGTCTTCTCTGTGACCCCAGCTGCTGAAACACTGCCCGTCGTCAGCCCCTCGGCGTTGCACATGTCCTGTTCCAATTGCAAGAAGAGCCTGATGAAAGGACAGACAGCGTTCCAGAGGAAAGGCTCCCCAGCACTCTTCTGCTCCACTGCCTGCCTCACCACATCTCTCACTACAGTCAAAGGAGTCACAAAGACCTGCCACAACTGCCAAAAGTGAGTTAACAAAAAACAAAGTCACCATACCAGTGACTGTTGAGAGAGTTAATATGGAATTTTCTGTGAAGAGGAAAAATACTATATACTGGTAAATGAACCATAACGTGGACTACTGTTTTAAAGCCTCAAATTTTGCAATTTTAGATGTCGCCAGCTTAGGTTTTTTGGAAGCAGAAGTGACCGTATTTGGACAAGAACGTGGCGCTAGCTAGCTTGGCTGCTAATGTGCATCAGCAATTCAAATTAACTGTGATAATAATTGGGATGCTTATTTTGGTTCGCGAAAAACAGGCTTAAAACAAAATGTACCTAAGGGAAAGTTAAATGTGGATACAATTCGCTTCTGTCTTGATTGACAGCCTGCCACTTTTCAATCACAAGGTAGCCACGCCCCCCAAAATCCCTGCTTTATCATCTATTTTACTCTTAATGGGAACATAATTTACTAAATGCTGTATTGAAGAAGGCTTGAAACTAGCAACTGAGACCACAAATCCATAAGGATTTACTGAGGTAATAAATCTGGTGAGAAGTAGGGCAATTTTCGCATTGACTACAATGGAGAGAAATTGACCTCTGTCTGTCATTAGAAAGAATGCTGCTCAAGCACTTTTCAGACCCAGAGGTTCCTGCTTGAGATTAATTTTAGAATCTTAATTGTGGTCATGACCCAAACTGACTATTACTCTGGGAATTGGATCTTGTATTGATCTCTTCTGATTCTTCCAGGTTGATATTCCGGCCTCAGGACGTCATTCTGGCTCCAGATGCTAAAGGAGCCATGAAGGAATTCTGCAGCCAGACCTGCCTGACCTCTTTCAACTACAAGAAAAACATCAATGTTAAAAAACCACCGCAACCAATAGCACCACAGTCACTCTGCAGCATGTGTACCAGATACTGCATTGTAAGTCAAAACAGAATAAGGCTGCAACTAATGATGATAATCATTGTCTGTTAACCTGACAGTTACTTTCTTGGTGACTTTTTAATAATTTTGTCTATAAAATGTGAAAGAATAGTGAAAAATCCCCCATTATTATTTTAATTATATTTCAAAAGGTGATGTCTTCAGTCTCTAGATTTGTCTGACCAACATGCCCAAAACCTGAAGATGTGCAGTTGAGATGCATATTAATTTTTCTCGATCGACAAATGAATAATAGTAAATCCAGCCATAAACAAATAAAGAAAAAATGTTTTTCAATAAAAGTCATTCGCATCAGAATACATTTTGTTTCTGGGCTGATAGCCAGTTTATCAGGACATATAGGGCCTGTTTTGGTTTTGGGATTTTCCTGTGAAATTATTCAGCATATAACAGTAAGAACCTTTTACCTCGATTCCCCTATAAACTACACTTTCGTAAATGAAAGGATAATCTCTGAAATAACACACTGTTCTTTTGTCGTCTCTTCTGCAGAGCAAACATGAGGTGGTCCTGAGCGGTGCTGTCCACAAGATCTGCAGTGACGCCTGCTTTAACCGTTTCCGCACAGTGAACAACCTGTCCTTGGCCGGCTGCGTGAACTGCGGCTCCTACTGCCACAGCAAACCGCTCATGCTGAAGGTGGAAGACGGCAACAAAACTCTGTGCAATGCAGAGTGTCTGGCCAAGTACAAAGAGGTATGAAAATTGGCAGTAAAAAGAAAACAAAACACACTAATTTGAGTCAGACTGGTTCAGATGGCACCCAGCTGATGGCTCGGGTGTCATAAAACGTGACCTGCTCCTTTTTGAAGAATGTCAGCTAAAACTGTAAAATATATAAGGGAGAGATGTCCTTTTGTTATGTGCCTTAAGCCAAGCAGACACTGTACTGATTAAAGCCTGATACATTTTAGAGTCGAGACAAATTTCTGCCAAATCAGATGTCATTTAAGTGATGACTCTGAATGTAATGATCTGGCTCTCGAATGATCAGATGGATCAAACATTTTGGTCAGCTATCTTACAGTTTGAACAGCTGCGCGGTCCGATTTCCCTCATGGCTACCGTCTATAGTTCCATTTTAAAGTAGTGGCTTAATTTAATATTACTGGAGTCGTATTTAGATGCTGTAACTACAGTTCTAGTCTTGACTGTGCTGTGAACTTGACACCATGTTGTCTTGGTCTTCTTTCTTATTTTCTTCTTACTTTCTGTTCATAGTTGAGATGCACAAAGTAAGGCTGCCTTTCTTTTTGTCAACACTGTTGAGGATGCAGTCTGTCTGTTTGAATAATCTTTATTGCAATTGACAACGAACAAAACCTGAGTGTGAACTCAAGGTCAGTTATTATAATTATTCAGTTTAAAAGTTGCATATTCTGGCCGTGCACAAAGGCTGATTAGAAAATGTGTAGCGTGAGTTAACACAATGTACAAGAGTATTAAACATCTCCATTTCTTTCTTTACATTCTGTCTTTTGTTAAATTTTTTTATCTCATAATAGAAAACCAAGACAACCGTGCCTTGTCTGATGTGTCGCACTACCCGGTTGCTGGCAGAAATGGTTGAAATCAAAAACAGCGATGATTCTGTGAACCTCTTCTGTAGCAGCAGTTGTGTGATGGCATTCAAGGTCCAGACTGTCAGTGCGTCAGGTACTGGACGAGATTCCTTCATTTTGGCATTTAATACTGCAGTCTTAAAATAAAAAAATAAAAAATAAAAAAAACGACTAAAAATTAAAAACTTTTCCACAGGTACACGTTTGAATTGTGATAATTGTGGGAAAAACACCGTACCGGCCTACCACCTGGCCATGTCTGATACCTCCATCAGGAACTTCTGCACTCTACCTTGTGTCATGGCTTTTCAGGTAATGAGGTTTACTGACTGTAAGGGTCAGGTTATGCTCAATTTGAACTAGTTACATAAGACGTCTTGTCCTCAAAGACATTTGTAGTTTCTCCACCTGTTCAAATAAAAAGTGAAATTTGTGGTGTGAAGAATGGTAAAGAGAGAGCTCACACCGTGGCCCCTTTCTCGCCTCCACATAACTGACCAATCAAGGTGTGAGTAGGTTCCGAAGATTGGTTTATTAAATTATGTCATGTGCTTGTGCTTTTTCTCAATTTATAGATAGTTTTTGTTTGACTAAAGACATTATTACTGATGGTATTTCTCCAATACACCTTATCTACAAATGAGTCATTCACTCTCTTGCTCAGTTGGTGTCAGTTCAGCAGAGTTCAACTCCTAAATCAGCCTATATATGTAATAATGAAAAGTGAAAACATCAGATTTCCACACAGTCAGAGAAATTGAAAGTGTGCCTCCTGCTCATATTTCAGTTATAAATTCATATATATATCCTAGTGCACTGAGGCACGTCTCTCCTGCCGTCAGTCACACTGTACCAGGTACTGGTTCAGAAGTAGTTTAATTGACAGTCAGCAACGGAGCTGAGAGCAGTGTTTCCCTTAACATCGATTTATTTAGTACAGTAAGTAAGTATAATAATAGTATCAGGACTGGCTGTCACATAGTGATTGTCTATTTTTTTTTTTCTTTACTTTTTTAAATGGGTGATATCTTTTTTTCATTGATTCGCTCAGCCCCTCCTTGCCTCTCACACACACACACACACACACACACACACACACACACACACACACACACACACACACACACTCACTTACAACAGATTTGATCAACGCTATCGACGTTAGCATGCTGTATGTAGCTGCTAGTCAATATCGACTGCTTGTACAATTGGATACCGTTGATGTTAATAGTTCTCTGACGCTGATTGATAAAATGTGAGTCGACTCTGCGTCTTATGACAACTTGAGTCATCGACCTTTAGGGGGCTGACCTTACAAATGCAGCTCAAATCAAAGTGGTTGTTAAGTCACCCTGTGTGATTCGATAGTCGACACTGTGGAGTCCTTCCTCTTCTTTGGCACCATCATCTCCCAGGAACTCAAGTGGTAACTGAGGAAGTTTTGTCATTTTAAATAACAACCATATTGTACAAATAATATGTTATATTATATGTATATTATTATTCATTTATATTTTTTATATTGTCAGTTTTATATTTAAGATTCTTCACCTGCAGTACTTACTGTCTCATATTTTCTACCAACTATGTTTATTGTTATGCACAAAGATACCAAAGCTAATTTCTTGTGTGTGTGTGTAAACCTACTTGGCAATAAAGCTGATTCAGATTCTGAAGTATTCATTTGTGGAGGACACACTGTTTTGCTGTTTTAATTTTACTCAGTATTGTTGTTTACTCTACAGTAGAAATGAACCTTTCTCGTACTGGTTTTCACTCAAGATTCTTGTATTGTTTTTTGTGTGTCATAGGACAAGTTCAAGAAGTCCCAGAAACAGGTGAATGTTTTTACCAAGTTGCCAGCTGGATCTGAGGTTCAGGCTGTTACTCCTACCCAACCTCAGCAAGACACCCCCAAAGGACCCCAGAAACTAAACTGCTCCCAGTGTGCCCGCAGCATAACTTTTAAACCCGAGCTCATCCAGATCAAGGTAAGTTGTGTGTGTGGTTTAAAACAAGATTTTTGTCTCTCAGCCTAAACTGTGGGTTCTTATATGCCCAAGACGGGCAGTTGGAGTTAAACCTTCAGTGTTTAACTCCAATAACTGGTAAGAGTGATTGGAGACACTTCAGACTCATGGCTACAGATTTAGGTCTTTGATCTTTGGTTTAATTTATCCAAAACTATCCAAATTTTGATGTGACTCTAAAATACATAAAAAAGGATAAAGTCCTGGACTACACTCAGTTGCCAGTTTATTAGGTACACCTAGTCTAATGTAACAGTCCTGCAATAAAGTCTACCTTCATAACGGTCTTTGTGCAAAAGCCTTGTTGCCCATGCTCAGATGAGGAGAAGTGTGAATGTTGGGGAGCGCACTGACCCGTGCAGTTGCCAGCACTTTCTTCAGAACAGCGACAGACAGTTCAGTTAAGCTCAGCAGGGACAATTTACCCCTTTTAACTTCTACCTTGTGATTTGTGTGTGTGAATGAATAAGGAAAGAATCAACCTTATGTTTACATGTAACCTTCATGAACATAGGATTTATTACAGGACTCTTGTATATTAGACTGCATTAGATCAGAAGTTCTTGAAGTGGGGTCCGGGGATCCCCAGGGCTACAACAACCTTTCAGTGTCAGTCGTTAAGAAATAGTAGAGAAAAAGAACTAAATAAACTAGAGAATTGATTAAAGATATTCACATAAGTAGCCTTGTTAGTTGATAAAATGTTACGTGCACTCTCTGACATATCTGTGCGTGATTCTCTGTGTGTGCAGGACAAGGTTGTTTTCGTGTGTAACATGGACTGTGCCCAGGAGTTCAAGAAAGCCAACTTTGTGACAAGCCTGTGTGAATACTGTAAGATTGAAAAGATCACCAGAGACGCCAAGAGAATCAACAACAAAGACTGTTTCTTCTGCAGCGACGGTAAGGAGATAGTTTGATATGACTGGGTTTTGTGTCTTGGTTTGTGAAATGTCTTACTTCTTCTCGGCAGAGCTACACATGAAAATTTGCATGTATATTTATTTACAAGTCTCTCCAAGTCTCTCTTCTCTCTCCTCCCAGGCTGTAAGCTCCTCTTTCGACATGACCTGACTAAAAACTGGGGGAGACACTGTCACTCCTGCGTCTACTGCCATTGTGTGTCCAAGAAGCTGGTGACAGCACAGTATGGAGGCTCGACTGAGGAGTTCTGCTCTGAGGAGTGCAGGTCCAAATACACCATGCTCTTCTGCCATGTAAGCAAGCCTCAGTGCATATATTAAAATAGTTAGTTAGTAGTTACACTAAAACGATGGCGATGATGATGATCTCGCTCTGCCACAGCTAAACGTTTACTTGTTGTTTTGTCTCAGGTTGCAAAGTGTGACACCTGCGGCCGCAAAGGGAAACTGAAGCAGAGTCTTCCCATGCTGGGAGAGGTCAAACACTTCTGTGACCTGCTTTGTCTGCTTCAGTTCTGCTGCGATAAAGTGGCTTCGCAGGGCGAGGTTCTCAGAGGTGCGAATTATTGTTGCCATTTCTCTTTATAATTTTTTTCTGTGTTGTGGTTTCAATCCTGATTTTATAATTATACAGTTAAGAAATTGTTCCGTAATAGACCCCCTGACTCTTCTGTGTTTCCTTGTGTTTTGTACTACAGAAACAGGGGAGCCCACACCTGTCATCGCCAATGTCATCTCGCTTGCAGGCACTCCAACAGGGAAATCCAATGCTTCTGACATATCTGCCCAGCAAAGTACAAACCAAAAGAACACACACAGATGCAATTATTTATGTACTATATGTCAAACATCTTGCCGGTGTTTATTTTTGAGGTATCATACTTTGTCATTGTCTCCACAGGCACAGTCTCTGTCTTTCAATCAAAGAAGACTGGACATGTAAGTTGGCGTTTATGTATTTTATAAACAGTAAGATTCATTATTAATGTATACATTTCTGCTTTGTGAGGCAGTGCTTTACATAAGACTAGGCTCAAAGAAACTAGTCAAATGCAGGACGACAGTAAATCACGCATATGGGAATGCTTAAGTTTACGGGCCTATGTTATCTCTGCCCTTCATTGGGGCTCAAGTAGATCTGACTATATTTACATTTTTTGTTTCATTAATTTAATGTGTTGCTTAGATGTAATCTGGTGTGTAGGACAGTGTTAGCCTTATCCCTTCAGCTGCAGCGGCTGTGTGGCTGTGTGCATATTGAGATTAAAAGCTTTGGGCACTGAATAAGTGGTTGTTCGACTCACTTTCAAGAACTTCTCGTCACTTCTAAAATCCCACTGATTTATTAAACGCACTCAAACATTTTCCAAACATTGCTCTAAATTAACTTCATAAAGCAACAAAATGAAAAATCCATTCATAGAAAGTGCTCCAATTGTGTTCGAAAGACACTATTTTAACCACGACTTCAGTTCAACATTTACTGAAAACTCACCCGCATAACCTGCGTGACACCCAAATGGCAAAAGGTGGAAGTACATTGTGACAACCTGCAACTGCCAGGTTGCATCGCCCTGTAAACGTCCACTTCTAATCGTGACTAGTGTCTTTAAAGTTTCTACTTTACTCTATAAATAAGAAAAATCTTAATTTGAATACCAAAATATATGCTCGTCATATTTAGCATAACAAAAAAGAACAATTTTTTTATTAAATTTTTTTTATGGCTCTGACAGGATGTGTGAAACATACTTGGAAGCAAATAAGAAGTAAATATAAAAACATATTTTAAAGCGGTAAGAAAGTAGGTTTACTGTCATGTCAAGTACAAGGCTTCGGTGCTTTAGTCAGTCTTGAATACAAAAGTATTTCCACATCACCCACAGCATACGTAAAAGTATAAAAAAACAGTCCAGTCATCCCATCGTCATTTTCCAAGAGAACTAATTGGTCAGGAGGTGGTGCTTTTATGGCATTGATCACCAAAGCAGGTTATCCAATCAGCATTACCATTGTTATGTACCCTGGTAAGAAATTAACCGTTGTTGTAAGACTGAGAACCCAGGGTTAAACCTGAATGTTCCTCGCTAAGGTCAAATTCAGCTTCGTAGCACAGGCCTCTGAACTGTTTTATGTGAAATATGACCAAGCTGTCTGTTCGTTTTGTTTGCAATTACTTAAAAATCAATAAAGAAAGTTCACAAAAACATGTATTGCACAGTACAACAGAAGGAAGCACATTTATTTTACAAAACGATGCTGTGGGATGTGTAAAAACACTTAGCCAGCCCCAGTTTAACTCAAATTTGGGATCAAGATGACAAGAGGACAAATTGACATCAACAAAACAATGGAACTTTGGTTCACGATCAGTCGGTACATATTATTCTGTTTTTTGTTTGTCCTTCAGATCAGTATTCAGACAGATCCAGTGAAAACTTATCCTCCTCCTGGCCCCAAAATCCTGAAGAACAAGGCTCTGCTCTGTAGACCGCTGGTGCAGAACAAAGGGGTCTCCTGTAAAACACAGACAGCCGATGTTGAAGCACAGACAGGTAAAAGCGACACACAGACACCGTGCTTCTGTGGTAACAGCATCTGTGCTCTACAGCTGTCTGTTAACCTGCAGGGGCAGGACAGACTAACACACTAATCGCAGATGACATTGCTGGTTTTTTGTATTTGATATTCGATCATCGTTTCTATATTGATATAGTGAGTTTGTCCTATTTCTTTTTTGTTATCAGTTTTTCAGTTCTGTTTTCCCCTACTCATAAAGGGATATACTCAGCATTCTTGGAAGTTTTAGTTCTTTGACAAGCAAATAGAATAATTCATAACATTAAGTTGGCAATATGACCCAATAAGATGTTTGTGTGTTTTGTTATGTTTTTCTCAATTTTTTTTATGTGATGGGTTTTTTCCCAGCAAATACCAAGCTATGTGGTGGTCTTGCATTTGTTCTCCACTCAAGTTTGAAGCTCAGTCCTATCCTTAAGTCACGGATTTGAACAACTTTTGAATGTGCTGGCTCTAAATGTTTGTGTCTATATCCAGACTAAATACTTATACGTAAGTGAGGACACTATCCTTGCTCATATTGAAGCATTTAGTAAATCATCACAATTTAAGAACTCCCTTCCTTTTTTTCTCCCCCCTCCCTCTGTAGATGATGCTTTCCCTAAAATCATGGTTGTGCCTATCCCAGTGCCGGTATATGTTCCTGTACCCATGAACATGTACAGCCAGTGTACACCCAGACCTGTGGGCCTGCCAGTACCGGTACGTCAAACGCACTACAACCAACTCTGGCTTTAGTGTTTGTGTGAACAGTTCCTAAAGTGAAGGATTACAAAATGAAAACTGTATATTAGACAACACAACACTCTGAAACAGTTAACATTCAGTGTATTCGTCCTCATTAAATTCTTACTCTGTCCACTACAGCTGCCTGTGCCCATGTTCCTTCCTGTGACAATGGACAGCGCTGAACGCATCGTAGAAACCATCCAGGAGATCAAAGAGAAGATACCGTCTGACCCCTTCGAGGCGGAGCTCATCCTCATGGCTGAGATGGTTGCAGAAGAAGAGGAGAAGAATGACAAACAGAAGAGAACAAAGGAGAAAGTGGTGGAGAAAGAGAGACAAGAAGCACCTGCAACATTTGGTAAGAGAAACAGAAATAATGGTTTTATAAAACTGGACATACAATCGAGAGTGCTGCTACAGTCAGTCAGCAAAGACGAGGGTAAAACACGTTTTTAGAGGTCTAAGAACGGGTGATTGGCGGCTGGCTAAGGAGATGGAGCAGGTTAGTCGGAAGGTTGGCTGTTCAATCCCCGGCTCCCCCAGACTGCATGTCAAAGTGTCCTTGAAAAGATACTGAATCCCCAATTTCCCCTGGTGGCTGTTTGACGTCAGTGTATAAATGTGTGTGAATGTTTGTTTCTGTTTGAGCATTTGGGCTCAGTGTATGTGTGTGAATTCAGATGTAGTGTAAAAGAGATTTAAGTGGTAGAAAAGACTAGAAAGGTGCTATACAAATACGGAGCATTTACCAATTAATGATCATGTCAACAACTGAGCCAGTACTTCGATACTTACTGCATATTTCTAATGATTTTTAGTCAGTATAGCAAAGACCATCTTTTTAAAATGTTTTTATTCACTTCAGATTGCAGCCAGTCTGCTTTTTTCCACAGTTGTTTTAAATAATAATTTTAATCATATGGTTATAAAATAATATGACAACCGGATGTACAGTCTCTTGTGTACTGCATATTAGGATTTTATCCATGACCTTTTACTTTTTCAATGTTACGTCAATTTCTTTCCCTCAAATGTCTTCAAGTTGTATGTTTTTAATATGAGAAAAATGTTTTTCACCGACTGACGAGTTCCCCTTGTGTATGTTTCACAGACCACGCCAGTAACTACAGTGACGACTTGGACACGGACGACTTGGCCAGTTTCCTCAACAACTGGGAGGAAGCATCTTCCGACACAGGTCTCAGGTCTCCCAGTCAACCGTTCGCCCCTGAGAAGCTCAACCCGATTCTAGACATTCCTGTGGGCATGTCCAGTGAGCCTTACGCCGAGCCCCCACCTCTAGCACCCCCTGCCATGGACATCGAAGCTGACTTCACTGTTGGTGAGCAGATGAGATGTACAGATTTGTTAAGTGCATGAAGGTTGTTTGAGTTTCATCTCCACCTTGACCTGTATTTAATAGGAGTTTAATTATACATTTTGTTTTGCATGTGCGGCCAGGAAAAAAAAAAGTCCTAAATGACATCAACAACCTCCAAACACTGGTTTGGCGTGCTAGGTCTAATGTTTCATCTGGTGTCATTGCTAGAAACTCTGGAGAATATGGCTCGGCTCAGAGAGCATTCCCAGAGATCCCCGAGCCCTCCGCCTGCTGTTCCACGACGACGACAAGCTCACAGGAAAGCCAGAGAAAAGAAGGTAAGTGCCTGGGAAAAGAGATAAGATGCTGCTTGTGCATTTAAAGATCTGATTGGTATTTGCCTACCATGTGCTCACATCACTTTGTCTCACAGTGGTCATATCCGTGACTCACCCTCCTCTGTGTCTCCACTTTGTCCAAGGGTCGTAAGTCACAACGAACATCTAAGGCAGCTGAAGCGTCGTCTCAAAGAGCTCCTTTCAACAAGGTCGTGCCTTTAGACGTGCCAAAACTGAAGAGTCAGTACGGCGTTGATGCCTGGAAGCGATGGATCCAGTGGAGGCAAACTCAACCCAACCTGGAGAAACCACGCTTTGGTTGTAAGTTTGGATATACAGTAAATACAACCACTAAAGCGGACTTTAAAAGTCCGGTTACTTGACCCAAGATTATGAGCAGTAATTATTTGTTATGAAAGTGGAATGTTTTTATTGTTGTCACTGTGATATTCTTATGTTGTCTTGTGTGTCTTTGCACAGATTCTTTATATAAAGTTTGACATTGCACATCAAAAACAAATAAAGATTTCCTCATATCTTGATTTCAGCCCGTCCCATGGAGTTGAAGGAGGACGTTCTTCGCTCTACTACTGCTGAGCTGAGCTATGGCCTCTGTTGCTTTATCACTGAGGTGAAAC